GATTATCATGCTTTCCTAATTCATTGATGTACTATCCTTTCACTAAAAAAAAACTGATCTTTTGATTATACTTTATGTTGTGTTTGTGTTAATAATAGAAATAATTTTTCATGAAATGTTGCTTTATGTCTAATTCAAGCTCGTTGTTCATTTTAGTATGTAAGCTCAAAAATAATGACTAAAGAATTTTGATTGCTCCTTTTATATCTTTCCAAATCTCTGAAATAATTTCTATTAAAATATTAATGCATTATGATGACTTTATGGCAGTTTTCCTTATAATATTTACATTATGGTAATAAAGTGAATGAAGAGAGGTAATAAACCTAGTGGTGATTTGTTGGGTCCACAGAATTGACCCATTCTACAATAATGAATATCCACTTACTTTTGAGCATAAGGCATACATTGTAGAATATCGGCGTGATTGTGTTAGTTGCTCAGTCGTATCTGACTCTTTATGATCCCATGGACTGTAGCCCACCAAGCTCCTCTGTCCGTGGAATTTTCCAGGAAAGAATACTGGAGTGGATTGCCATTCCCTTCTCCAGGGGATCTTCCCAACCAGATATCAAACCCAAGTCTTCCCGCATTGCAGACAGATTCTTGGCTGACTGAGCCACCAGGAAAGAAGAATACCAGAGAACATATACTTTTAAAAGCTTCTTCATAATTCAGTTCAGTTCAGTTCAGTTCAGTTCAGTCGCTCAGTCATGTCCGACTCTTTGCGACCCCATGAACCGCAGTACGCCAGGCCTCCCTGTCCATCCCCAACTCCTGGAGTTTACCGAAACTCATGTCCATTGAGTCGGTGATGCCATCCAACCGTCTCATCCTCTGTTGTCCCCTTCTCCTCCTGCCCTCAATCTTTCCCAGCATCAGAGCCTTTTCAAATGATTAAAATCAGTTTAATCAAAACTTGCCTTCAGTCACATTCAGATGATACAGATTTTTATACTGTAAGCCACTCATTCATTGTCCATTCATCAAATACTATTGACTACAAACTAAGTCCTGAGTGAAATAAACAACAGAAATGAATTTTTGCCTTAAAGATTTCAGGAAAGCATGAAGGTTTGAGATAGTGCCACACTAATATCATAAATAACTTGTAGGTGAGATGATTACTTCACACCTGGGATGGAGTGGAAGGGCATTTGGAGGTGTTGGGGGAGGCTAAATAGAACCTGAATACAGGAGGCAGGCAATAGGAAGACAACTGGAAACAAGTTGGTTACTGTTTTGTTTTGTTTTTTTTGTTTTGTTAGTGTGTGTGTTTTTAAAGATTATTATTCTAAATCCATTAGGGTTTTAGCTTTAGGGGTGATTGGAAAAGTCATTAACATGAACTTTGGGGATTGATATGATATTTATAGTAGTATTAGTGTGTGGAAGCATTTCATATATACATTTGATAGAATCAATGACTGTTCTCAGTTGCCATCTTTAAGCATGGATGTTCATATTATTTTTACTTTCATGGTTTGTTTTGTAAGAGATTTTGAATAATAAAGCAACTATTATACATAACGAACATGGTGTTATGAGCATGATCCATAATTTTAAAATGTCCTTCACCATAGTGTTTACGGCAACATGATTGTCATCTATTGCATTATGATCAGTTTGTTCTTTTGGCCTTTTCTTTCTGCTGAATAATTGGCAACTGCAGATTAGTTATAAAATAGATCATCTGTTATATGGCTTCTTATCTGTATACAAAATGTCAAACTTCATTTTATATAAAAATCACAACCACTAAATAATTTTTGAAAGTTCTTATGGAAGTACTCTATTTCCTTGCAATTTTTAGGTTGAGTTTTTATCATTCTTAGTCACAAATGGCAGGAAGCGGTTCCAAATTAAATTCATTTTTACCACAATCATGACATTTTCCAACTGTCTCATAAATTTGCAACATTTGTTAAAAGGGAGACTAATAGAGCAAAATGTGTCACTAGTGCCGAAGAAAACGGGCTTGTGGTAATTAGAGTGCCATCTTTAAAGACAAAATTAGGGCTTGAAATTTTAACATAATAATTGTACCAATGAACTGTTACTGAGTTCTCACAATGTGCCAGAATCTGTGTTGAGCAGTGCAAATGCATTAAGTATTAGCAAAACTTCTAATAGTATTCCTCTTCCTGTTTAATAGAGAGAATAAGCCTTAGAAAGGTCTATGTAATTTGATGATGGTGCAATAGGTAATGGGTGGAGAAACTGGGAATCAAAACAAGTTCTCTCAGGGCTAGTTGTAGGTGTAGACACTATTGATAGCCCAATTTTGCTATGAGAAAATGTGAGGTTTACAGAGGTCTAAATAATTCAGAGAGGTCTAAATAGTACCTTACACAGCTAAAAAGTAGAAAACCAGGTATTCAAACACAGATTCTTCTAACTTGAGAGTCTAAATTGCCTGCCAATATCATCATTACATTTCCAGGAAATTTGAGTTGTAAGAATAAAATTTGAATTGTTTATGTCTCTTTTGTTCTGACACAGAAGGGGCAAAATTCAAGAAGTAATGCCTATAGATGTTAACTGGCGAAAGAAAGGACAATTGTTAAGGACACCGCTGAGAGCCAGGAATTTAGTAGCGTGACGAATCCCACTTTGTTCCATATTATTATTTTAGGGCCATCCTATCAAAGCCAGAGTGTTTTAGGATAAAATTTATTACTCCCTCTGTTTCCCTGGTTGGAACCATTGGATTAGGTTTCCCAAAGTCAGAAACTTGGTGCCCTAGTCAAAGTCCTCGAACTCGTCCTCTGTTACGTGACCCAGAGTGAATTAATTTGGCTAATTCCCTGTTTGTAAACTTTACTGTACACTGTCTTGTGCTCTAATTATTTTCATTTCACCGTATCTTGTTTTACAAACTTCAGTGTTATGGTCCTGGGCAAGAACAGTGTCTTTCCTCTTTGCAAAGAGTACTGTAACAACATTCAATTCTTAAAAACTGATGAAAACTCAATGCTCAGAAGACAAACTGGAATCTTTTAAAATACCTTTTTGTCCTACAAGTCCATGTTTTTAAATGAATAAAACTATCAATCACTAGTTTTTCTTTATTATGAGTGTGGGAGGTGGTCACAATAATACATTATTTTTCAGAGAAATCTATTCTTTGTTAAAGATAGTGAATTTAGAGTAATCATAGATTTACATTACAATCTGTGGGACTGAGTTCTCATTAAATATATTTTGTAGAGCTTTTACTTTTAGGTGTAGCAAAAAGGCAAGGTGAAGAAACAGAAATTGTTTATTTTTTTAAAGAATCAGTTATAGGAGATGCCATTTACAAGCTAAGGGAAACTAGTAAAACTGAAGAAACTTTAATACAAATGTTAGAAAATTGCATTAATCCAAACTAGAATTTATAGTTTTCTCATGAGAATTATTATATTAACTGTAACAGAGGCAGTTTGTGTATTCCTGTGTGTATATCTGTGTGTGCATTTATGTTTTACCAGATAAAAAGAGTATGGTGTCTTCTACACTTAGCAGCCATAGGTATTTGGAGTAACATTATGTTTGCATTTTGTATAGACACCGTATTCAGATCAATTGGCCACTCCTATCGAAAGAGACACAAATAAGATTCTCTTGGCCAGCAGCTGTATTTTTAATAGTGCAAGTCTGAGTTTATATTAAAGTGAATAATTTTGGTGATTTAGATCCCATTTGCTTTTTACTCTGAATATGTTTTTAATATGTCTTCATTATGTATCTTCTTCTAAAAATACATACAATTTAAGACCTTGAACTCTAGTTAGATAATGGTTGCATTATTTCTGTCCCATATTTGCAAGTGAATGTTCTTTCTTCAATAATAAAAGCAAGGCCTTAAATTATGTTTGAGATGCTCATTACATGAACACTGTCACTGCAGTGTCACAAGTGTTAAAATAAAAATATTAAATAATCAAGTTCCATTAGTTGTTGGTTTTTGTTCCTTCATCATGAGAAAGGGAACTTTATGAATGATGCATCACAGTGCTCTGTACATTTACATTCAAAGACCAGTTGTTAATGTTTTAAGTTACTGCCAGTGAATCTTTAGAAATCTCTGTGAACAATGAAGCCATTCATTGTGTTCAAGGGTTTTGTCTTTCTTCAGTGATATGATTTTCTTCTCATTTGAAAGAGTGTTTAATTGCATTGCTCATCTACTTTTAATATTTAATAATAATTTTATTAGCTGTGTCGAATGAGGAGGGCAAGATTTGCAATATCTAGTACTGGTCATCAATTTTTTCTTATCATGACTTAATGAATATTATAATTACAAGAGGAGACAGAAATATAAATTAGCTGGGTACTTGGTTGGGACTTGCTGGTTTATCGGTTTTTGTTTGGGCAAACCCAAGAAGAGATGCAAAGAGAAGAAACAAATATCTGAGAGTGTTTTAGAAGCCCTGGCACACATTTTTGCAACCTACTAATAATTTTCATTTAAATAATAAACACCATGGCTTTGAATAAAGTTAAAAACATTGACAATAAAAATTCCTGCTGGTGCTGTAGCAATTGACAGGGGGGATCTTGATGACTTACAAGACTGGGTCTTGGCGGGTGTATGTTCCTTTAATCTCTATTAATGCATTTTGACAACTTTTCATTCTCTTTTCTCAATCATTTGTACTGCTGTTTGCTTTCAGCTAGGACAAAGGCATGAGTTATTTTGAGTGGAAAGACTTGGCATACCTGTCATCATAATAGCAGTTTTTACTTAAGTACTACCTCTCACCTGAAGTTTTCAAAGTGCTTTTCACTAGGCCTATGAGATGGCCGTCAGGAGTTATCAAACATTTAAAGCCTATACGGAAATATAACCCAGGCCATGAGGAGAAAATTTTCCTTTTTAATGATCTAGATATGAATATGTGTATTACAACCTCTAAATTTTAGATGCCAGTTTTTCCAAACAGGACTAGATATTGTTGAATTTAACGTGTCCTAAAACCTGTCTTAAAACGAGTGCTTTTTAACCCCCCCAGCAACTGCTTCGAGAACGACAGCAGATGGCCAGCCGACCCTTTGCGTCTGTTGATGTAGCGCTGGAAGTGGGAGCTGAACACACAGACTTTCTGCGAGGGGCATTAGAGGTAGGAACAGTGGTGGGCAAAGGGGACTGCTGTGATTTGCATATTTATATTACTTCTCTAATCTGCATCTGTTTGTGAAGCCAAACAGAGTCTGATTATCTAGAATTGACAAGATTCAGCTACATATGTTATGCCATTTTCAAGGCACATGGTTTTAATAGTATGACATGAGCTGTAACAAACGCCACTGGAGAATCTGTTAGTCTAGGCAAGAGTGACAGACTGCTCACCTGGCACCCTTTCCCTGGCAGATAGGAACTGAAGGAATTTAAGATACAGGTACTATGGTAGAAACAAAGCATCTGTATTTAGTCCTGGAGTGCCCAACACCCCTCAGTTAACAGGTCACATCTATCTTTATTAACAAAGTTGACTATAAAAGGTGGGTGGAGATGAGTTGCATTTTAATTACATAGTTTCACTTTTTGAATGTTGAAGGTTGTAGAATATAGTGAATATTTTTATTTTATGGCTGTATTAGTACAGGATTATATTGCAAATGGGGAAATGGAGTATGGTGAAAGAGAAATGATTATGTGCGAGTAAATGTGGTATTCGGATCTTGAAATAGTGCATGACATGGTTTCTGAAAATAATGGGGGTTCCCAAAGAGCAAAAATCCACAGATTGTAATTAACAACTCATGCCAGCATTCTGAGGCATGGTAATTTTATTCTAGGCTTAGTTTCCAAGTTTTTTGTGTTATACATGGTAAGATGTTTAAACAGGAAGATTTAAAAATACCTTACAGTTGAAATATTTTATTCACCTTTTAAAAAGTGACCTGATGTGACTGACTTCATGTTGCTATATTTAGACTTTGCTTTTCTTTGAGGAAAGCAAGGGATATAACAATAGACTCCTCCAAATACCTAGGCACAAATATAATTGATTTTGTCCATAAAATTTTTGGTTATTCTGAAAAAAATAGAACTAAATCAGTCCTTATGATGCTATACAAAGGACCAGTGTTTAGAGACATTTCTCTAAGTAAATTTTTTTTTTTTAGCTTTTGTGTCCTTGATTTTTTACTGCTCTAGATCACAGGCTGTCACAGAAGCTTAGAACATTAGATAATGTGTGGGTATATCTTCTGTTGCTTAGGGAGAAGTGCTCTAATTTCTAACTTTGCAGTAAGTGCTCTAATTTCATTCTGACCTTTAATTTCAAATAACTTTAGAACAGAACTTTTAACAAATTGAAAACTCTATCTGAATCTAACTTCCTTTTTCTCCTCATCTATTTAAAGCATTCTTGAATGCTGTTAAAACTCAACTCACAAGAGAAAAACAAATGTAAATGATACAGATGTAAGTTGAGATAAACACTCATAAACTTAAGGAACAAATGTAATAAATATACATAATAAATAATTTATTTTGTAGAGTTTAAAAACTTCTACTGCTACTTTCTTTTTGCTCATATTTACTTGGTGGTCCTTTTATTCATTTATTTCCGACTTCTCTGTATCCTTTTGTTATTACTAGTTATATGAATAACTGGTATGTCTCATTTCTTTTGTATCACTTGTTTTCTAAAATTTAAATTCAGAGTGTCACAGAAGAATAAAACCTACCTACCTACTCCCATTTAGAAAGTTTTCTGGAGATCTGGTTCTACTTACCAATGTGTAGTTTTGTTGGCTTTTTGTAAATGGCTTTATTAAATTGTAGTTCATATGCCATAAAATTTACCCATTTAAACTGTGGAATTTCGGGTTTTTAGTATATCCAAAATCGTGTAACCATCACCAAAAATCAATTATAGAATGTTTTCATCTTCCCCTAAAGAAACTCCCTTCTTACCCCCTCTCTTTTTCCCCAAGCCTCATTCTCAACTGTAGACAAGCCCTAATCTACTTTTTGTCCTTATATGAGTTTCCTCTAGTATATTTTCATTCCATTTCATATAAATGGAGTCATACAGTATGTGCTCTTTCATGACTAGCTTCTTTTACTTAGCCTTAATGTTTTCAATTTTCATTCCACATTGTGGATGAATATTTAATTTCTTTCTATTGCCAGGTAATATTTGATATTATTGATATAAGAGGGATGTCTCAGGTGGCTCAATGATAAAGAATATGCCTGCCATTGAAGAGATATGGGTTCAATCCCTGGGTCAGGAAGGTGCCCTGGAGTGGGAAATGGCAACCCACTCCAGTATTCTTGCCTGCAAAATTCCAGGGACAGAAGATCCTGGCTGGCTACAGTCCATGGGGTCACAAAGAGTTGGACACGACTAAGTGACTGAGCATGCACACACACATTATTGATATAGCACAGTTTGTGTTTGCACTCATGCGTTGATGAACATCTGTGCTGTTTCTGCTTTTTGAAATGCTACTGTGAATTTTTGTCTACAAATTTTGTTTCCTTTTCATTGGAATATGTAAATAAGAGTTAAATTTCTGGGTAATATGGTAATTTTTTACTACTTGTGGAAAAGACTTTCTATCTCCACTGAATGATCTTGGGACTCCTGTTTCAAATCAATTGACTGTAAGTGTGAGAATTTATTTTTATCATCTCAATACCATTCCATTAATCTATAGATGTATCATATGACAATACAACTCTATTTTGATTACTGTAGTTTTGTAGTAAGTTTTAGAATTAGAAAATATGAGTCCTCCAGCTTTATTCATTTTGAACATTGTTTGGCTTTTCTGGGTTCTTTGAATTTTGACAGGAATTTTAGGATTAGTTTGTCAGTTTCTGCAAAGAAGCTCACTAGTACTTTAATAGGGATTGTATAAAATCTGTAAATCAATTTGGGAGAATTTACAATATCTTAACATGCACCTTATTAAGGTGGTAGCCTTGTTAATTGAGTACCTTTATCCATGCTTCAAATAAATTTAGGATTCTAAATTCAATATCAGATTTTCTTCATCTTGATAAACAAGTATGATTTCTGATATTTAAAATTCCCTATATCCATATATTTCTGATCTAAAGTAAATTGACAACTTAATTTTTTTTAATTTAAAGTTGAAAATATTGTCCTTCAGTAATTTTTAGAGCTTAAGTTGTTTTCTTATGTGAATTTAATACCAGAAATAAATAATGGCTGCTAACTGCTAATTTATTTAATATTCTTTGGAAAATAATAGAAGTAGAAGCATAATGTTTAAAATCATATTTTGTTTTTTTCTTTGCATTTTGTAATTACTACTAAGTGGAAGTTATCTATCTGCTGTATATACACATACTTGTGTGTACATATACATTTGTATGTTGTATGTGAGATTTACTTTGCATTGTCACAGTACTCTAGATCCACTCCAGATCTCTTTTTATATACATAACCTAGTATGATGTGGCATTGATTTGCTTACACAGCAAAATATGAAGCCTAGGCCTATTCTGAAATAACATTAAGGACTTTATTTAAACCTAGAAAATGAAAGTAATTTTAAAATTCCTTTGCTGGTTTTTTCTTAAAATTCAGAGATTAAATTCAACCCAAAGCCATAGGTTAGCTGGCTATTACTGGGATTCAGGGTAGAATGCATGTCACCCTACAGACAGCAGGGCAACTGAGCTGAGTGTTTATTCCTCAACTCCCTCCAATCACTGGTTGAGGGCCATTCTCAGGAAGTCAGAGAAAGCCCTCAGCAAAGAAATGAAGGCTTTGGCTTTGGAAATTAGCAGAAAACTGACATGGTAACTTAGAGGCTGAAAATCAACCCGAAGTTTCTCCTATAAGGGGTAAGTATAGAGGGAGAGAAGCTTGTCACAAAGCTTCTGTGGGAATACAGGCAAGAGGTAATGGTGGCGAGACCAGGATGTTAGCAGTGAGGTGTCTGATTCTGGACTTTGTTTTTAAGTCATGATATGTTCTCATTTTGAAAGTCTTTCTAGAGACTTTGTGTGTGTAAGATCCAAACAGAAAAGAAGACAGGATTTTCTCTCCTTAACTGGCACTGTAATAGATCCAGACCTTCTGATGCTGTTGTACTTATTAAGAGCAATAGTCACAGTCTCTCAGTATACCCTCTCAAACAACAAAAGTCATGCTTTTCAGCAGTGCTAAGGGGAAGATTCATAGCATTACAGGCCTACCTCAAGAAACAAGAAAAAAGTCAAATAAATAACCTAACTCTACACCTAAAGCAACTAGAGAAGGAAGAAATGAAGAACCCCAGGGTTAGTAGAAGGAAAGAAATCTTAAAAATTAGGGCAGAAATAAATGCAAAAGAAACTAAAGAGACCATAGCAAAAATCAACAAAGCTAAAAGCTGGTTTTTTGAAAAAATAAACAAAATTGACAAATCATTAGCAAGACTCATTAAGAAACAAAGGGAGAAGAACCAAATTAACAAAATTAGAAACGAAAATGGAGAGATCACAATAGACAACACTGAAATACAAAGGATCATAAGAGACTACTACCAGCAGCTCTATGCCAATAAAATGGACAACTTGGAAGAAATGGACAAGTTCTTAGAGAAGTATAACTTTCCAAAACTGAACCAGGAAGAAATAGAAGATCTTAACAAACCCATCACAAGCAAGGAAATCGAAACTGTAATCAGAAATCTTCCAGCAAACAAAAGCCCAGGACCAGATGGCTTCACAGCTGAATTCTACCAAAAATTTAGAGAAGAGCTAACACCTATCTTACTCAAACTCTTCCAGAAAATTGCAGAAGAAGGTAAACTTCCAAACTCATTCTATGAGGCCACCATCACCCTAATTCCAAAACCAGACAAAGATGCCACAAAAAAAGAAAACTACAGACCAATATCACTGATGAACATAGATGCAAAAATCCTTAACAAAATTCTAGCAAACAGAATCCAACAACATATTAAAAAAATCATACACCATGACCAAGTGGGCTTTATCCCAGGAATGCAAGGATTCTTTAATATCCACAAATCAATCAATGTAATACACCACATTAACAAATTGAAAGATAAAAACCATATGATTATCTCAATAGATGCAGAAAAAGCCTTTGACAAAATTCAACATCCATTTATGATTAAAACT